AAAAAAAAAAAAAAAAATTCTTTGACCTTTACCAGTCCTTTACAAGAAAGATTGAATTAAAAGTTCTGTGCCTGTATTTCTAATTACACTCACTCCTCACTTAATCAACATGGTTGGGTTCCAAAGACCAGGTTGTTATTTGAAAATTGGCAAGATTTGTAATACGACCATATCCTATTACAACGTGGAGGATGACTGCATCATTACCTAACTGCCAAACCACTGAACATCGTGGCCCAGCCAAGTTGACACATAACCTTAACCATCACAGCCAGTGTTACCCTTGCTTTGCACCTTGGCATTTGTTACTGCCAGACATATGTTGTTAATGTGCAGAATAGTTGCAAAGTAGACTTACTACTATTGTCAGAAATGTGAAATGTTGGATAACTAGTAGAGAAGTAAGAAATAGGTATATAGTCTGTTGTTGTTATGTGCCGTCAAGTCTGACTCATAGCGACTCCTCCTTGGGTTTCCAAGGCGGTATCACTACGGAAGTAGATTGCCCAGCCTTCCTTCTGAGGAGTGGCTGGTGGGTTTGAACTGCCAGCCTTCTGGTTAGCAGTCAAGTACCTTAGGCACTACGCTACCAGTGGTCCTGGTGTATAGTCTAGTTACTAGAAATAACAATTTCTAGATAGTAGTAAATGTTTAACTTTGACATTTGCATTAATTTTCAGTAAATATTTTCCGGCCTCATCTTATATGGCCTTTCAGTAACATTTATTGACCATTTCTTTCCACTTCATGCAATCTCTTCTTTTGACTTCCGTTACACTAGACTCTTTGGCACTTCTGGTCATTCTTCTCTCCTTTTTAGGTTACCTTCCTGTTTCTGGCTGTTAGATATTGGGAATCTTTACTTGAGGCTCAGTCTTTAGCTATTTTCTCCTCTCATTCGCTACTCTACCCCTAGTCAGTTTTATCTACTTTTGTGACTTTATGTTCCACCTCCATGCAGATATCTCATAAATTTATGTATTTCTACAACTCAGATTACTTTTCTTGATTTTTGTTCCCATATATCTGAGAAACTTGGATATCTCAAAAACATCTCAGTTCTGTCTGTGTGCAAGACTAAATTCATACTCGTTCTTCCTAGTCTTTGTTATTTATTTCAGTGAATTCACTGCAGTCTCCCCAGCTATGCAATGTAGAGACCAGGCAGTCATCCTTGATATTTACTTCTCCCCATTCTCAGTGTCCTGTCTTCCCATTTTCTGTTGATTTTCTTTCTTAAATATTTATTTATTTATTTTTTAATTGTGATTTGGGTGAAGATTTACAGAGCAGATTCACTCTCCATACTTTGTCTCATGACATTGACCACAGTTTACCACAATGCAACAGCTCCCCTCTTCCCCGTGTCCATCCCTCCATGCACTCCTGCCCCCTGAGCTGTCTCCCTGTGCATAATCAGCCCTTCTTTCTCCCATGACTGTTCTCTCCAAGGAGTGTATCTACCTGAGGTAAATGTACAACTCATATGCCTGTCTTTTGTTTGGCTGGAAATCACGGGTGTGGGTTCAATTCCAGACCTGAAGGGCAGCTAGGGGCCATAGTCTCAGTGGTTCCACCAGGCTCTATCGGACCAGCAAACCTGGTCCCCCCCCCCCCTTTTTTTTTCTTAAATATTTCTTATATCATCTACATCTGTCTGTGCCTGCACTGCTGCCATTCTAGTCCTAGTCACCAACATCTCTTATCTGGTCTCACAGTAGCTTCTCAGCTAGTCTGCTCTCAACTACTGTGTTGCCCCTCCATTCCTTTCTCTACACTGCAGCCAGAAAGAAAGGATAAAACTCATAACAGTCACATCTTTACCACTCTAATGACTTCCTGTAGTTTCTGTGGTGAACATGGCAAACTTTGAGGTAACCTGTGAGAATCTTAATGATCTCATCCTTGCTCTCTTCTCAAAGCTTCATCTTATATGATTCTCTTCCTTGTTTTCTGCGCTTCTCTTTTAGTTCTTCTGATAATACATTATGACACCAAGCCTTTGTGTATGTTCCTTCTACCTGGAACTTCCCTACCTTTGGGTCGTTATTTCTCATTTATTCTTTAATTATCAACCCGCCTTATTTTCTCTGGAAAGCCTTCTCCAGTATGAGCCAAATTTCTTGCTTATAAGCTTTCCGAAAACCATGTCTTTTATTTTATGACATTTGTTTTAGTTTTTCATTACATTAAGTTGTGTGATTAATTGGTGAATTTCTGTTTGGCGTAGATTGCAAAATGCAGAGTCTGTGTTTTTTTTTGGTGGTGGTTTTTGGCATACTCTGTAGTATCATAAGGCCTAGCAATATTTCTGACATTTGGTAGGTGTCCAGTAATTAATTTCTTGAAAGTTGATAAATATATCATTCTTTGAATATCAAAATTCTGAGCACTGCTTTGAGCTAAGCAGTATGTAAAAATGGAGTTTAACAAAGCTCCTACCCTTTTGTGTTCATGGCAGGAGATTGGCTGATGGGTTACAGAAAGCTAAAACTGTGAGAGCCTGTTTGCTACTGCTTTGATTTTAATTGTGCTCCAAAACCCCTAAAACAAGACTTTGGGAATATAGGAGGTTAATGAATTTTAGCTCTTCACTCCTTGCTGAAATTAAATCCATTCTAATTAGGATTTCATATAAATTCTTCCCCCAGACTCCATCAGTTTGCTCTAATTCTGTGATTATATACTTTCCATTTTTATTTATCATTCTAAGATTATTACCCATTTAAAAATGTCTTTCAGCTTTCAGAGTATATTAGAATATTAGGTTACAAGTCTTTTGGTCTTTGAGCTTTGAAAAGTTTGACATTTTTAATGAGAGGGCAATGGGGGTCTTTGATCTGCATTTATTATTCTAGAGACACCTGATCTTTGGATGGCTGATACTTCTTCTTCTTTTTTTTTACTTTTAAACAAAATTGAGGTATAGAGAGATAGTTGTTTGAGAATCAGTGGCCTGGGATCTGGTCTGAGTATTTGTTGTACAGCACTGAGAATGCTTCTTAAATGTTCCTATTCTGACTAATTCTGGCTTACCAGAATGGCCAGCAGGGAACCAGGCTGTGGTCTAGGCAAAAACAAGCCTGGAGTGGCTGATACAAGCTGGCTACTGTAGGCCTTGAGAAGAAACACTGGCTGGCATCCTTTTGCTTATACACGTTAGCATCTCATTAGCCAAGATTAGTTAGTGACCTCATTAGCCAAGATTAGTCGGTGGTTGTAAAAGTAATACTTGTGGTTAGTGGATAGTCTACGTACAAGTTTAAGACCAAACTCGAGTTGTCAAAGAGTGACTTTTGCCTGGAGTGTTTGTCTCTGAATATTTCCTTTGAACTAGTGGGGCAGGCCAATGATTTCTAATGTTTTGGATCTGAATCAATATTTTTCCACATCTGAGAAATATGTTCTTTTGTTTCTTTTTTTTAACTTCTGGTTTCCATCAAGTAAAAACTTAAAGAAATTGGGGAATTGGGCAGTTTAATATCATAAAAGTTTTGTACCCTGTGTATTTTTTTTTCCTCTGATTTTGGAGAATGGGATATACATTGATCTTTTTTAAGATACCACTGTGATGTTTTAATAGCATTAATTTCCTTTAGGAAAATGGAGTTTTGTGTGGGATTTTAAATGGAGACTTTATAAAAGAAAGCGAATTGTGACCATTTTCAGTTAATCGGTCCTATATTCCTTGACCACTAATTATGTGCCCTTTATTTGACACACAACATAGAAGAAAAGAAGAAAGCAAGGTTTCTAGGTAAATTTGAGTCTAACTCTGAGATAAGATTATCATGAAATGACTAGAATACCCAGTAGCCCCCCCCAGTATGTATGTAATCAGGTATCACCTTGAGATTTAAGCTTTTAAGTGGTAAGAATTCTGATGATTATTCTCATCTCTCTGGTGTGGGAATGAGTTTTGAACTTTCCTCTTACCAGGTACTGGGGCATCCTGCATCTATCCTTTACTTGGAGCAACCTTAAATGGCTGGTATTTCCTTGCAACGGAAGTGGATGATATGTGCTTCAACTATGCGAAGAAAAATGTGGAACAGAATAATTTATCTGATCTCATAAAAGGTTTGTGCCACAGAATAAATATCCTTTTCTAGCTTTGTTTATTAACTGATTTTTGTAATTTAATACACGTCATTATTTATTATCTTTTGCTTAAATACATACAGTTTGGTAATTTTTAAATAGCTGGTACATTATAATTGGGGCTGCTGTTTTGACAGCAGAATTAACTTAGAAATAATAATAAATTTATAAAGTAACCTAGTCAAGATCTTAAAAGGAAGAAAGCTCTAGCTCTACTATTGATAAGGTATGCTTATTTTTTTTTCATTTCTGTACATGGAATTTTGGTAGAAGTAGCAAATACCTTTAATGATCAGTTCCTTTTTATCTTTGTACCTACTATATGTATAAAAAGGCTGTTTATTTATTTATTTTTCTTCTTAAAGTGGCATTACTTCACTTTAATAAAGAAATTGTTCTTTTTTTTAAGGTGACTTGGTACAGTGTTAAACATATCGTTTAATGGGAGATTATTATTATTATTATTTGTTATTATGTGCCGTCGAGTCAAACCCGACTCATAGCGACCCCTCCTTGGGTTTCCGAGGCAGTATCACTACGGAAGTAGATTGCCCAACCTTAATGGGAGATACTAACATTATTATCTATTGCTGTGTAATAAATTATTCCAAAAGTTCGCAACTTCAAACAATAAGTATTTATTATGTCATGGATTCTATAGCTCAGAAAATGGGATATAGCTTAGCTTGGTGGTTGTGATTCAGAATCTCTCATGAGGTTGCAGTCAGATACCAGTTAGAGCTGCAGTTACCTGAAGGCATGACTGGGGATAGAGATTTACTTCCAAGATGGCTCACTTACGTGACTTTTGGTAGAAAGCCTCAGTTCATTGCCACATGGATCTCTCCGTGGGACTGCTTGATTGCCATTACAGTATGTCAGCTGGCTTCCTCTAGAGCAAGTCATCCAAGAGGTAAAACAAGGAGGAAACTACAATGCTTTCTATGACTTAGCCTCGAATGTGGCACCCTGTCACTTTCATCATATTCTTTTTGGTGGAAGTGAGTCCCTAAGCTCAGCCTATACCTAAGGGGAGAGAAATTAAACTCTCCTATTGAATGGAGGAGTGTCAGAATTTGTGGGCGTAATTTAAAACCACCACAGCATTAATATTTTTCTCCCAGTGGTAAAGGTACCCCAGAAGACACTCCTGATGGATGCTCTCAAAGAAGAATCTGAGATAATCTATGATTTTTGCATGTGCAACCCTCCATTTTTTGCCAACCAGTTGGAAGCCAAGGTAAATTGTATTCTGCTTTAAAGTAATTTAATCTTTATCCAAGTTTGCCTTGCAGAGATAAGAGCAAAGAGCACCTTTTATTTTGGAAGCTGTATCAGTTAGGATACTTTTGGGTTCAAGTACCTGAAACCTAATTCAGATTTACTGAACAGCAAAGGAAATGTATTGGCTTATAGTTGTAAGAAGCCCAGCAGTAGTATAGACTTTACAAACAATTTGATACAGAAGTTCATGTTGTTGTTATGTGCTGTTGAGTCGGCCCCAACTCATAGCGACCCCTCCTTGGGTTGCCAAGGCAGTATCACTACAGAAGTAGATTGCCCAACCTTCCTTCCAAGGAGTGGCTGGTGGGTTTGAACCGCCGGCCTTCTGGTTAGCAGTCAAGTACCTTAGGCATAGTATTATCAAATCTCAGGCTCTTATTTTTATAGCTTTCTCTTGGCACTGACCTAGTCTTTGTTTTTGTTCTAAAACTGGTTTGCTTATGGTAAAGTAATATCTAACAGAGGGTGGAGGGAGCTCTTTTCTTCCCTAAAGCAGTAAACATGAGGTTTTCTTCTGATTGAACTAATTTAGGTTACAGTTCACTCCTGGACTAGGCTTATTGATTTAAAAAGGAGGTCACTGTTCTTTCTGGCACCTAAGACGTTTGACTGCTAACCAGAAAGCTGGTGGTTCAAACCCACCAGCCACTCCTCTGAAGAAATGTTGGGCAATCTATTTCCGTAGTGATACTGCCTCGGAAACCCACAGAGGGGTCACTATGAGTTAGGTCCGACTCGATGGCAGTGAGGTGGTGTCACTTGATAGTAAACAAATTTCTGATTTTCAACTTCAAATGAAAAATATATTTGCTCATTAATATAGAAAGAGATACATTGGGAAGAAAGAACTGACCTGTTAAAAAGAACGCAGTGCTATAAAAAGCATTGATTTAACCTCAATTTTCCTTCATCTAGTAAACCCTTTATTAAATTAAAATGAGTAATATTAATCAGCTAGGAATGAGGAGGTATCTATGCTTAAGACTTTTGAGAGCGTAAATTGTTTTTAGATTTAATCAGATATCCTAAAGTACCATTTATATACCTCATAACAAAATAAATTCTAGAGTGATTCATTGGGTGGTAGGGTGTGATGTGACAAAACTTTATTAGCAATACCAGCATTCTAGATTGGAACATAAGTGAAGCAGAATTTAAGAAATTTGACTCCACCATCCGCTTCACAGGAGAGGGATGTAGCAGTCTGCTCCTGTAAAGATTTATAGCCTTGGAAACCCTATGGGGCAGTTTTACTCTGTACTGTAGGGTTGTTGTGAGTCAGAGTTGACTCAATAGCAGTGAGTTTTTTGGTTTTGTTTTTTTTGGGGGACGGAAACCCCATATCCTTTAGCATTCCTAGTTTCCCCTTGACACTTTAAACCCTAGACTAACAGCAGTATACTTTGTGTCATTATAGATTTACTGATTGTGTACATTTCATATAAACGGAGTCATAGAATATGTGGTCTTTGGTGACTGGATTCTTTCACTTATAATTTTTTCAAGGTTCATCTATGATGGTAGCGTGTATCGGTATTTCATTTCTTTTATATTGTGTGGATACATACCACATTTTCCTTGCTCATTTATCTATTAATGACATTTAGATTGTTTCCACTATTTGCCTAGTATGAATAATGCTGCTGTAAACATTTGCGTGTAAGTTTTGTGTAGAGATATGTTTTCTTGGGTATATACTTAGGAGTGGAATTACTGGACCAAATGGTAACTCATTGCTTAATCTTTTGAACAGCCAGATTGTTTCCAAAGTGGCATTCCTACCAGTAATGTATGAGGGTTACAATTTCTTCACTTCCTTGCCAACTCTTGTTATTGTCTATCTTTTTTGTTATAGCCACCTTAGTGGCTTTTAAGGATTTTAAGAATATTTTCTGCACAATCTTAAGGTACTACCTTAAGTAAACACCATTCCTAAAGCCTTCACCTTTGGGGATACTGGATAGGAATTAGATCCTTTGGGGTCAAACTATCTTTTATCAAAAGGTACAGACAGCTGGAACAAAGTCAGGCCTTATGGAAAGTAGCTTTTAGTTTGTGCAGGGTGTGAAGGGTATCTCACTGTGGTTTTGATTTGCATTTCTCTAATGACTAGTAAGTTCTACTCTGACACACATGGGATTACCAGGTGTCTGAATTGACTCGATGGTAACGTGTTTTAATGGCTAATAATGTTGAGCATCTTTTCATGAGCTTACTGGCCATTTATATATAATTTTCTTATGTATCTGTGTATCTATCCATCCAAATTTTTATTGTGATTTGGGTGAAAGTTTACAGAGCACATTCATTTTCCATACAGCAGTTCTTACACATTTTGTTTCATGACGTTGACTACAGCTCCCCATAGTGTTACAGCTTTCTTCCCACTTCTTCCTGGTAATTGTCTCTTCCCTGTGTCTTTCTTTCCAATGCATTCCTGCCCTCCACCCCCCAGGTGTCTCCCTGTGTAAATACTGCCCTTCTGTTCTCCCATGATTGATCATTCTAAGGAGTGTATACCTGATGTAAATGTTCAACCTATATGCCTGTATTGTTTGTCTGGAAGCCACAGGAGTGAGTTCAATTCCAGGCTTGAAGGGTAACTAGGGGCCCTAGTCTCAGGGGTCTTACCAGGCTCTGTCAGACCCATAAACCTGGTCTTCCATTTATTTCTCTTCTTTGGAGAAGTGTCTATTCAAGTTCTTTGCCCATTATTATTATTTTACTTTTTAATCGTAGTTTGGTTGAAAGTTTACAGAGCAAATTAGTTTTCCATTCAGCAATTTATATACGTTTTGTTTTGTGACACTGGTTGCAGTCCCCTCCATGGGCCAGCAGTTTTCCCATTTCCTCCGATTTCTCTGTTTCCATTCATCCTTCTCCTGCCCCTTTCTGCCTTCTGAGCTTTGTTTTTGGTCATATGCTGCCCCTTTGGTCTTGTGTTTGATTTTATTGAGGAGCATATTCCTTCCTGGTGTATATATATGGTTTTTTTTTATTAGGATTTGGGTGAAGATTTACAGAGTAAATTCACTTTTCATACAGCAGTTCACATATACTTTGTCTCATGTCATTGACCAAAATTTACAATGCAGCAGCTCCCCTCCCACTTCCTCCCCATAGTTACCTCCTCCCAGTGTCCATCCCTTCATACTCTTCGAGAGGCCCATGTTTTTAAAATATATTTTATTGTTCAGAATATATACAGCAAAATATACACCACCTCAACAGTTTCTGCGTTTGAGATTCAGTGAGACAGATTACATTCTTCAGCTTGTCACCCATTCTCCCCCTTCTTTTCTGAGTTATTCCTCCTCCATTAACATCAACTCACTGGCCTCTAAATTTCCTATCTAATCTTTTGTGTGTGTGTGTGTGATTTGGCTGAAAGTTTACAGAGCAAATTCAGTTTCCATACAGCAGTTCATATACACTTTGTCTCATGACACTGACTGCAATTTACCACAGTGCAACAGATCCCTTCCCGTGTCCTCCCGATAGTTACCTCTTTATTCCTTCCTGGTATTATTATTCACTTTATAGGCCTGTCTTTTGTTTGGCTAAAAGTTGATCCCCGAGAGCGGATTCACTTCCAGGCTTGAAGAGTGTCTAAGGGCCATGGTCTCAGGTTTTCCACCAGTTTGCCCATTTTTAAATTGAATTGTTTGTCTTTTTGTTACTGAGTTTTGGAAGTTCTTTGTATTCTGGATATTAATCCCTTATTAAATACGTGATTTGCAAATATTTTTTCCCGTTCTATGGGCTTTTTACTCTTTTGCTAACGCCCTTTGGTGCACAGATGTTTTTAATTTTGTTGAAGTCCTGTTTATCTATTTTTTCCTTTATTGCTTGTGCTTTTGGTGTCTGAGAAACATTTTGAAGCCCAAGATTATGAAGATTTCCTCCTAGGTTTTATTTTAAGAGTTTTACAGGTTTAGCTTTTCCTTTTGGGTCTTAGATACAATTTAAGTTAATTTTTTAATGTGCTGTTAGGTAAGGATTAAATATTTAAATGTAAAAAATGAAACTATGAAAGTAATAGAAGAAAATGTAATTGAATATTTATATAAACTTTGAGTGGTATATTTTCTGTGCATGATACCAAAGATAGAAAAGGTAAAGAAAAAGTGACAGACTACATAAAAAGGTAGAGTTTTTGTATGTTTAATTACAAAGATGGAAGATACAAGATGGAAGGAATACTTGAATGAATGTTTAAAATATAATATTGCAGTGCCTGTATGATTTCTAAATTTAGTATAGTATTTAAGAAGTAAAATTACATGTAACATCTTTCCTAGAGCTAGATTATATTCAAAGATTTAATTCTTGAGGTGTAAAATTTTATCACCACAGCATTTTTGTTGTTATTCAGGGAGTAAACTCTCGGAATCCTCGAAGACCTCCCCCTAGTTCTGTAAACACCGGAGGTATCACAGAAATCATGGCAGAAGGAGGTGAATTAGAGTTTGTCAAAAGGATCATCCATGACAGTTTACAACTTAAAAAAAGGTTAAGGTAAGCTGTTCATTACAAGATGGGAATATTTCCCCCTTTTTTCTTCCCATCTGTAATCCATCACTGAAAGGAAAAGTAATTATAATGGCCTAAAGAATAAAGATCTTGAAGATAAAAAAGGTAGCAGATCATACAGTCTGTGAAGACCTTGTTTCTGAGACTGCTCTTGTGCCATTAATTGATTTGTGTTCCCGTAATCGTCTGTTCTACGTGGATAGAAAGTAAGAAAATAGCATATGATTGTACTTCTCCCATTAGTATGGTACTGTGATGGAACAAAACTGCTTCAAATATGGCTTTTGATTAGAAAACAGATGGGTTCAGATCTGTCCCATGAACCAGAATAAATTTGTTGCCTAGTCTTTGAAGCAATTTATGTTCTTGGAATCAGTCTCTCAAACAATGACAGATGTGAGGACACTGAGCTGCCACAAACTTAATGAAGGGAAACTGAGTTCACTAACCAATTCCATAGGAGGATTAAGGCTATTCCTTTTAAAAAGCTAATTATTTCAGACAGTACACCTGTCATTAAGCAGCATAAGGTACTCAAAAAGAGCTATTTGTCCTGCTTGACTTCCCATCCTGTCACGTGTTGTTGAAGTGACAGATAATGTAGTAGTTTGGAAAAAAAGGGATTTTCAACCCCAGGATTTACCTTTGGGACATAGGGAAGATACTTTTTCCTTTTGGACTTACAGGTGTTTAAAGCTGTTTAAGAGGAGCCCTGGTGGTATAATGGCTAAACACTTGGCTAGCAACTGAAAGGTGGCAGTTTGAACCCACCAGCACCTCTGGAAGAAAAGGCCTGGTGATCTACCCCTGTAAAGATTATAGCCTAGGAAACCCCATGGGGCAGTTCCTGTAGGGTCACTGAAATAGAATCGATAGCAACACAGCAACAACAGAGGTGGTTATCTTAGAAAAAGGCTGATTCTAAAATCAACAGAGTACACTGATGTATTTAATGTCACTGTGTATTTAAATATTTGTGGGAAGCAAATTGATTATTAGATGGTCTGCCTCTCAGAAAAATTACACATCAGTGAAGCCAAAGGTCAATAAATTTTTGCTTTAAATTGATTTCTTCAAAGATGTATTAGAGTATGTCCAAAAACAAAGGGAATTAAGTTATACTGAGCATTGAAGAGAGTCTGAGTAAGTAAAATAAACTTATAGAAGGAAGCAGAACACTGAAACACATAACAAACACATAACAAAATTAGCCATGTGCCCATTTCAGTATTTATCAACTTCTGAGGGGCCTGGAGTCTACTGGGAAAATGGGTAACTGTCTCTCTATAGATGACTCTGCCAGGCTACAATACACGTGTGGTTGTTTTTTGGGAGACTTTTTAATTTACAGTACTGAAGGTTTTTATTGTTTCCAAAATCCCATTTGAACTGCAAAATATATTTTCGAGGAACACAATTATAGGGAAGAAATTGGCTCAATCTATTCCAAGACTACATGGCAAGGTAGCACCCACATTGAATGAAAGGTGTAAATCTGCTAGGAAGGATAATTTATTAGAGCCTGTTGTATCTCTGGAGAACTGATCATTTTACGCTTGAAATCATATGTGGGAAATACTACCCAGTTATGATTTATATAAAAACAGGGATCAGCAGTCATGACTGTTACTGAAAAGAGACTAGAACTGTATTTCCTGAAAAAAAATTTTGCTCACAAATCTTGTTCACATTTCTCATCTTCCCATTATTACTTCCCGTTTGTGCAGGTTACTGGTTCTGCCTCCCTGCATATTTTATGTTGTAATGTTTAAACCACTAGGAGACATTCCGATTTTAGAATACTGTGAAAACTGCATATTTTGAAGCTCTATAAAATAAGGGTTAAAAATAAGTTTCTTATTTTTCTAGTGTACTTCTTACTCCTCTTAAAGTTTTTTCTTGCTGTGACTGAAGACACACAGAAACTAAGCAGAATTTGCAGCATTTAGGGGTGAAATAAGTTAAATTTGTTTAACTGATCTTAGTGATGGCACTGAAGTGTGCCCCACCTTCCCCTTTAAGATTCAGACCTCATTAAAGTCATTCTTAGCAGCAACTACAATTTTATTTTGTATCTTAAGGAATTTTGCAACTGGAAAGATATTAAGAGTTTAAGTTATTCAACTTCTTAGTTTTCCAGATAAGAAAACTGGGACCTAGAACTCCTGACTCTGATCTAGTGCTCTTTCTACCACCTTGCAAAACCTCTGCAGCCTCAACCTGCAGTTGGATTCTGTAAGTGGACAGCCTTTCTACTGCTGGTGAAGATTTACGAATGCTTGTCACCCTTTATTTCACTTTTGTGCATATGGCCTGAGTTTACTTAATGGCATTTTCTTTTTTATAGAATGTTATAGATTGACTTGTGTCCTTACAAAAATAAGTGTCACCTTGGTTAGGCCATTATTCTCCATGTCATGTTATTATTCTCCATTTTGTGATCTATTATTATTTTAATAGGGCAAGTACAGGCAGTTATGTTAATGAAGCAGGGTGCAAACTACAGGTTTAGGATGTATCTCAAGTCAATCTCTTTTGAGATATAAAAGAGATTAAACAAGCAAGCAAAAATCAGAAGGACCTACTACCTCCTGGAAAGAAGAGCTAGGAGCATGGGTCCTTTGAACCCATGATGCCTGCATTGAAAACCTCCTAGACCCAGGGCAGCTCTGGTGATGTAGTGCCTAAGGCGTTTGACTGCTAACCAGAAGGCTGGCAGTTCAAACCCACCAGCCACTCCTTGGAAGGAAGACTGTGCAATCTACTGACTGCCTCAGAAACCCAAGGAGGGGTCGCTATGAGTTGGATTCGACTTGACAGCGTGAGTTTGAGGTTTGTTTTTTTTTTAGACCCAGGGGAAGATTGATGCCAAGACATATGTAGATCTCCAAGGAATGCTAGGCCCACAAATTTTGGAAGGAGATAAGGACTTTCCTCCAGAGCCAACAGAGAGAACTCCTTGTAGAGCCTGCTCTGGATTTAAACTTTTAGCTTCCTATACTGTGAGGAAATTTCTGTTTCTTAAAACCTTCCGATTGTGGTATTTCTGTTGTAGCAGCACTAGATAACTAAGAATTTGGTAACAGAACAATGTGTGCTGCTCTAACAGATACCTAAAGTGTGGAGACAGAAGAATGGTGTGCTGCTCTGACAGACACCTAAAGTGTGGAAACAGTTTTAGTATTGGGTAACGGGTAGAGGCTGGAAGAGTTTTAAGGTGCTTAAAAATAAAAGCCGAGATTGTTTTGAAGAGACTATTGGAATTATAGTCTTCAAAGGCCATTCTGGTGAGGCCTAAGAAGGAAGTGAGGAGAGATGGATTTAACACTGGAGATGGTGCAGATAGCAGGAGGCAGTAGAAGAGAAACAGTGGCAGCAGAACCAGGGTACTGGCATGAGATGGCACAGGAGCTGACGTACAGAGCAAGAGAGGTGAAGTAGGGTACCTCTGGGTAACACTTCCCTGAGCAGGGCAGAGAGACTGGGCTGGCCCAAGAGACTCAAGGGGCCAAGGGCCAAGAGCGTGGGAGAGGCTTTCCTATGAGTACAACTGAGAAGCTGTCATGAGTGAAGAACAGTGCAGGAATAGGATGAAGGAGCAATATCTGTTGTCTACCAAGAAAAGAAAAGAACCATCTCTGAAGCAGCTCAGAGAGTGACAGAGAGCAAGGGAAGCAGAGCTGCGTATGTCTCAAAGGGTAGGGCCTGGCTTCTTGGCTTTCAAAGGGTAGAGCCAAGGCCTCCAAAGTTTCAGAGTCAGATCTTCAACAACTCATTGCTGTTCATGTGTACCAGGAGTATGGAGCTGGATTCACTGCCCAAAACTGAGGGGGCAGGGCTGCCATGCCAAGGGGCAGAAGAACAGGGCATACAGGGACTAAGGGTGTAGGGTCACACTCAGATGGACTGGGAGAATGGGACCACCCAAAGCCAAAGGAACATAGGTGCCATCCCAGTAGTCCTGGAGGGCAAAGCTAAAGCCTAGGGCTGAGAAGCTCCCACCCAGAATTCAGAGAGCGTGGCCAACCTCCAGAATCTGGAGGGCAGGGCCATTCCTAGATGGTGTCAGAGAACAGAGGGGTTTCTCTAAGCCTTGAGAGCAACTGTAAATTATTCTGCTGGGTTTTTTACTTGCTTGTTAGCTGTTTCTTATTATCTCTCCTTCTCCTCCAATTTCTCCTATTTGTAATGGAAATGTATACCATGTGCCTGTTCTACAGATTACTTTGGAAGCAGATGACTTGTATTGTAGATGCACAGATGAAGAGGAATTTTGTGCTTGTAGATGATTTAAGACTTTTGGGATGGTGTGATGGGGTGAAGTATGTTGCATGTGGCGAGGACATGAATTTTGGGGGCTAAAGTTGGAACATAAATGACACCTATACATGTGGAACTCACCAGATGGAATGCGCAGGAACCAAATTGACTACATCTGTAGAAAGAGATGATAGACAAGTTCAATGCCATCAGTCAAAACAAGGCCAGGAGCTGACTGTGGAGAGACCCATCAATTGCTCCTGTGAAAGTTCAGGTTGAAGCTGAAGAAAATTAAAAGAACTATGTGAGAGCTAAAATATGACCTTGATTGTATCCCATCTGAATTTAGAGACTATCTGAAGAATAGATCTGATGCATTGAATACCAATGACTGAAGACCACTTGAATTGTGGGGTGACGTTAAGAGCAGCATACATGAAGAAAGCAAAAGGTCATTAAAAAGAGAAAAAAGTCTGAAAACCAAAAAGGAAGAACACGCTCAGCATTTCTCAAACTGAAAGAACTGAAGAAAAAATTGAAGCCTCGAGTTGCAATATTGAGAGATTCTATGGGCAAAATATTGAATGATGCACGAAACATCAAGAGAAGATGGCAGGAATACACAAAGTCACTGTACCAAAAAGAACTGATCGATCTTCATCCATTTCAGGAAGTGGCATATGATCTAGAACCAATGGTAATGAAGGAAGAAGTCAAAGCTGCAA